GAGCCCGTGTCGGCGCTCCGCCGGTAGCAGCCGGACGTTGCGCGGCCGAGCGAGCTGCTTACCCCCGTGCAGTAGGTAGGGTGGTGGTGGGGCGGCTAGGAACATTCTCCAAGGTCTCCGCTACCTCTGACGTCTCATTTCAGGAGCGTGGCATCATCAGGGACAGTTACCTGCTTTGGAAAGGAGGTGATTGTCTGTCTAGTTTTCAAAGAACAACTAGCGTCCTGACCGTGGCTACAGTCTGCGCCTTTTATCGCGACCTGCCAACTATACCAGTCTTTGCTCAAATAGGTGTTTTTTTCCCCACCACCTATGCACCTCTTTCAAACTCCAAAGCAAAAACCTCTCTAATCGTGAATGATCTGTATGTGTATGTGTGCGATTTGTTTTCTTGTGTGTGGAAGTATTCACACATAATGTGTGCCTTCAGCTATAAAAGAGTCCAATATACCTTCCAATTTATAAGTTTATAGACCTTAAAAAAAACTTTCCTCCCGGCTAACTAAAAATTGGTGAGTTTACTAGTTTGTATAAGTAGTGAAGAATTCTGAAAGGCCGAAAACAGTGCTGCCAAAAAATTTCCTAATGTGTTCAAATAATAGAATTACAGGAAAAATTTACAGTTAGATTTAAAGTCTTTGTCTAAAGCAGTGGTTCTCAACCTTCCTAATGCCGCGACCCTTAAATACAGTTCCTTATGTTGTGGTGACCCCCAACCATAAAATTATTTTTGTTGCTACTTCATAACTGTAATTTTGCTACTGTTATTAATCGTAATGTAAATATCTGATATGCAGGATGTATTTTCATTGTTACAAATTGAACATAATTAAAGCATAGTGATTAATCACAAGAACAATATGTAATTATATATGTGTTTTCTGATGGCCTTAGGCGACCCCTGTGAAAGGGTCGTTTGACCCCCAAAGGGGTCACGATCCACAGGTTGGCGACCCACAGGTTGAGAACCACTGGTCTAAAGTGAAAAATTTGAATTCATTGTATTTTTTTTTAATTTTGGTAGTAAAAAGCTGCAAGTGTAATTTAAAATGAGGGAAATTTTCATTTTCTGTATAAAAACTGCACAAATAAAATTGCTTAGTTTTTCTTAATGACAAAAGGTCTGTACACACATACATGATTTTTCTTTTTTCTTTAATTATTGAGTTCATATGAAATACTTTTATTGATTTTTTTTTTTTTTAGAAAGAGAGAAAGGGAGAAAAACATCAACTTGTTTCACTTATTTATGGATTGATTCTTTTAAAAAAATGTTTTTATTGATTTCAGAGAGGAAGGGAGAGGGAGCTATAGAAACATCAATGATGAGAAAGAATCATAGATTGCTGCCTCCTGCACACCCCCTACTGGGGCTCCATCTCCAAACCAGGGCATGTGCCTGGTAGGGAATCCAAACGTGACCTGGTTCTTAGGTCAAGGTTCAACCACTGAGCCACACCGGTAGGGCCATTGGTTGATTCTTGTATGTGCTCTGAAGGGGATAGAACCCACAACCGTGGCATATGGTGACAACTGAGCTACCTGGCCAGAATGAAATATTTTCCACATATAACACCATAAATAGATTATTTGGCACAGGTTATAGTCATTAAAATTAAATTTTATTTTAGTATTTTGATACTTGCTTCACCTGTGTTTATACTGTGTTCTCTTTCACTGGTCTTGAGCTTTAATATCCTGTTGATTATATCTTATATATTACCTTTCTTACAGTTTGTCTTAATTGATAAATTTCCCCCCCCCCAGGTGAATTATACTTCAGTGTACTACCAGTTGTACACTACGGATGGGAACTATCAAAGTTTATAATGTCAAAAACTTTTCTTAGACAAAAAGTATCTTCCACAAAGGTATGCTACACTGAAATGGTCATGTAATAATTACCCAAAGATAATTACATTTTTTGTACATGTTCTCAGTGGTTTATTACTGTATCAATGTGATGGTGCTCAGTATCTGTTGTAATTAGTGATCTAAAAAGTCTAATAAGTTGTGAAACAACTGGACACTGAAAGTACAACCTTAATTTTGAAGAAAAAAAATTATAATCCCAGTCACAAAGAAAAGGCTAACCATTCTAGAATGGAAGAGCAGTAAAAAATAAACATATGAGTTGTAGTTGGTGTTAAAGTTTAACAACAGGCCCTGCCTCTTAGAAATCATATGGTTTAGTGAGTTAGTTCTCAGCAAAGTTAGAAGGTAGAGTAGGTGAAGGTCAGACAATATGATACTCATACGCAGAATAGCTATTTTCCTAGTTTTTGGTCTGATTTATCTTTTTAAAAAAATATATTTTTATTCATTTCAGAAAGGGAGAGAGAGAGAGAGAGAGAGAGAGAAACATCAATGGTGAGAATCATTGATCAGTTGCCTCCTGCATGCCCCCTCCTGGAGGTGGAGCCGCAACCAGGGCACGTGCCCTGATCAGGAATTCAGCTGTGACCTCCTGGCTCATAGGTCACTGCTCAACCACTGAGCCACACAGGCCACGCCTGATTTATCTTTGATCTTAAATAAATTATGTTACTTGGCCTTTTCTCCTTCTCTTTTCTTGAGTAAACTGGAGTCCACATTTATGTAAGAAATAAAACTATAAAATGTATAACTAACATGTAGATCAGAATTGCTATCAAAAGAACTACTATACTAATAAGAGATATTTTTTTAATGTACTCTGGACTATATAAGAAAGTGGCCAAAAGTGAAGTAATAGTGAGTCTTTTGAAGAGGGGGAAAGGAATCAAGTAGTTATGACTGAAAATTTTCCCAGAGGTTTTCATTTCTTTATCCACTATTGATAATATTCCTAAACCTCTCCCTTTAAAAGAGTGAATATATTCATGTCATAATTATAAATTATTTATAGTATCAGGATTCTTAGATTATTATCTTCACAAAGTCTTAAAGATAATAGGGATTATTTTGATGTATGAAATGTTATATGTTAACCTGGTTAAGGAAGAAGTATTATTCTTCTCACTTTGTACATGGTTAAGTAATATTTTATTTCTCTGTTTTGTTTTGCTTCTTTTTGATAGGTAATTTAAATATTTAGGTTTCAGCCCTACAAATGAGTTTTAAAAGAATCAGCCTACTCTTTATCCTGGGAAGATTACATTAATAAAAAATTACATTTGTATTCTGTATTCCTTTTTATAGTATTCATCATTACCATGGTCAAGAAGGCAAGTTATGCATTTGCACTTATTATAAAGTGCAAAAATAACAAATATATATGGAATCAGTTTTATTTAAAGAGCTAACTTGTGAGCTTTTTAAAAAAATGTTACAAATACACAATTTTTTTTTTTACAGAGCAGTTCAATTATAGGGAATAGATGCTAAAAATGTAATAGTATTTACATGATTTCTTTTCAGGTAACAGATTGGGTAGATCCATCATTTGATGATTTTTCAGAGAATAGAAGCATCTCTAATACTGCCACATCATTAAGTGTGAATAACTCAAGTCATAGAAGAAAAAACGTGCCTTCCACATTAGAAAGCAGCAGATTTCCAACTAGAAAAAGAGGAACATTGTCTTCCTCAGAACAGATACATGGCCTAGAAAATTCAAAAGAAAGTCTGTCTGAAAATGAACCATGGGTGGATAAATACAAACCAGAAACTCAGGTACTAAATAGCATGCAAACATAATTTTATTTCAGAAAGGAAAGGGATGTACATTTTCAGATTATTACTCATAGAGTCTTTCTAAATGAATTAGAAAAAAGTAATGATTTCCAGGTATTTTAGATATCCCAAGGCTCAGTATTTTGTCAAATTATTCTGAAGTTGTACCA